CTTTGTTATCAAGAAGCCCGAGCAGTTTATTCGAGAGTACAGAGATAAGGTATGTTATATCTGAATTTGTTGTTTAAATTGCATATATTGGTTAATTAATTGGAATCTGTGATTTTTCTTCTATTATGTTTAGAAGTTAATCAGTGTTGTCAAAGGCGCACTTAAAGCGCGCTTAAGCCCTAAAGTGAGGCTCAAAACATGTTGAGCGCTTCACCTCACTTTGTGGGTGCTTTAGTGTCGTATCAAGGATCTAAGGCATCCTTTTCCTCGCCAATGAGTGTAATCCTGAAAAAGGCGATATTAAACGATTGATATTTTATTTTATTGCAATATTTTTCAATTTCTTTGTCCATATATTTGTTATTCATGCTTATAATTATTAGTCTTGGACTACATTTATATATTCTTACTTTTTCTCCGATTGCGCCTTTTTTCATTAAAGCCAACGCTTTATTTGTGCTTTGCGCTTAAAGCCCCAGCGGACCTTAGAGCTTTTTTGCGCTTTTCGCCTTTGATAACGCTGAAGTTAATTTTGAACTTCTAGAAGTCCTATTCTGTTTCCAAGGGACAGTGCATTTATATCTTCAAGCAGCACTTTAATTACTGTTTTTAGAAAAGTTGGTAATGTCCTATCCTTGGTATCTTCTCCAACTTCTTTTGTCCCTTTTTCTTTTCCAATTGGCTTCAGCATTTGCTGTCTCTTTCAATGAGTATTTTTTAGGCATTTTGCTATAGTTTAATGGCACTGGTAAATTATCTGGATAATATGTAGGTATGATATTTATTTTTGGTTAACGTATCCTTAATTTGGTGTCCTTGGCAAAGACTAATATCGATTTACCTTTTTATTGGACTGCAACTCTTCAGCAAGTTAATCTGATTCATTGCCGTCAAAAACTTCTCTGTGACAGTCTAACTTTCTTTAGGCCTACAAAATCAACAGGACACAATAATATCTATGCTCCTAGAAAGGAAGAATAACGTTTTTGGTAAGCTGTAAAAGGACATATGTAAAACGAAGACCTTCTTGGAGTACAAACAGAGATGCAATAAGGAGAACAAAGCTGTCTTTTATGTGTTCAAATTTTGAGGAGCATGAGGGGAAACGATATTTTTGTGGGCTTGGCATACACTAGCAAAAAAGAGTACACTGTTGTTTATAGTGATACAAATTATCTGAAAAAAGGTGCTTATGATACTGTTCTAATATTTTGAAACACAACTGAATTGTATTTTTGAAAACTCTAAAAACGTCCAGTCTTAGTCTAGTCAAATTGACTCTTCCTAACAAATAGGACATTCAAATGACACCAACATTGTATTGTTTCATTTTGAGCCTAAGTTGCCTGCTTGCACCCCTCCCCCCTCCCAAAAAAAAAAAAAAACCCAAGTGTATAAGATCATCATTGTAGATTGCTTTCTGACTTACTAACTTTTAGTTGTTGTACATTGTACATTCAGGAGATGGACCTTGTCCAAATGAAACAAAGGGGAAAGAAAAGAATCAAGCGAGCCTTGATCACACCAGATTCCATGCTTCTATTTGTCATACGTGTTGGAGGGTAGGTTCCTAGTTTTGTTATCACAACTATACTCTTTTGGCGGGTGTGGCCTGCCTTTGGGTCCTAATATTTGTGATTCACCTCAGGAAAAGTGATATGCATCCAAAGACGAGGAAGCTTTTGTACTCTTTAAGGCTGCGAAAAATCTTCAGTGGCGTGTTTGTAAAGGCAAATGCAAGAATAATGGAAATTCTGCAAAAGGTGGAGCCTTATGTCACATATGGGTAGGTATAGTTATTTACATTCTTATTATTGCACTAGCATTCACTCAATTTGTCTCTCTACTGGATATCCTTGAATCACACAACTCTTATCAGTTAATACCAGATGTTATGCTTGCTCGGATGGTTGACATTTATATTTTCCTAATTTCACCTTCGTAACATTTACCACTTGATTATCTGCCTGCAGTGACCAAGTATGGAAAATTAGTAAGTCAAATATAGTTCCACAAAAATCTTCCTCTGTCTAGCTCCCGCTTCTACTCAAACTAGAGCAGCCAAAGAAACCTTGTTTGGTTTTTACTGACTAGTTATTCAGCTCTCATATAGCTGTTTACCCTATTTATCATTTTTCTATAGTGTTTTTCTCTATTAAAAGAGGTCAAAGTTCTATCTTCAGTTTCTCTCTCTTTGAGAGTCAAAGTTCTTCCTCCATCTAAAAGAGGATATCGGTTTTAATAGTCTGTTTGGCCAAGCTGGAAAAATCAGGTTATTTTGAGAAGTGTTTTTTTTTCAAAAGTACTTTTGGTGAGAAGTAGTTTGTGTTTGGCTAATTAATTTGAACAGCACTTCTAAACAGCAATTATCGTTTGGCCAAACTTTTAAAAAGTGCTTCCAACTGTATTTTTCTCAAAAGTGTTCTCAAAAAAATGTTTCTGGGAAGAAGTTACTTTTTTCTGCTTTCCCAAAACTGCTTCTGCTTCTCCTCAAAAGTACTTTTTTTTTTCTCAGGTATTCCTTGTTTGGTGAGGATATTCACCAAAAGTGCTTGTAACTATTTTTTTTACTTCAGGTATTCCTTGTTTGGTGAGGATATTCAACACCGAATATAAAGGAATTAGCAGGAAATACTAATCCATGTGCATAACCGCATTAACAATTGATGGCTTCTATCTTATCAAAACAACAATCAATGTGCTTCTTGATTCTTTTTGCTTTGAAGATACCCCAATCTGAAGAGCGTGAAGGATCTGATTTACAAGAAAGGTACTGGAAAAATTGACCAGCAAAGGGTGCCTTTAACTAGCAATGACATCGTGGAACAGGTGCCTTTGTTTCCTTTTCTTCTTCTCATAACTACCATAGCAGTTGATCTTGTCACTCTACGTTCTGTGGGCATCCCTGCATTGGTATCATGTGGTAACTCAACTACATATTTTGGCAGACACTAGGTCAGCATGGCATCATATGCTTAGAAGACGTCGTGAGCGAGATTGCTAATGTCGGTCCACACTTCAAGGAGGTCACTAGCTTTCTATGCCCCTTTGCTCTCACCAGGCCAGAGAAAGCTTTGCAGGGTAAGAAGAGACGATACAAAGATGGCGGCGATTCAGGAAATCGTGAGGATCACATCAATGAATTGATCTCTAAGATGAATTAGCATAGACAGGTCCTAGTTTCCAGATCAAATGTTGTTGGTGTTATCATTGCGATTTTGGTGTGGGTTATTGTAAGATGGAGCACCTAAATCACTGCCAACATGGCATAACAGCTGAAGAAATGAAATATTAGGTGATTCTTTTTCCTCCACCCATTCATTTATCTCATATAGTTTGTTGCTTATTTGTGCCTCGAAGCCACTAAAAAGAATGATCTGATCTTTTCATTACTGGACCACGTGTTTCTGCTGCTGAAGTGAAAACTCCAAAATTGTTTTCGACTGTATGAGCAAATGCAGCAAGCATAATAAACATTATCATGGAAGATAGGCTGAGAGTAACGCATTCAGAGCAACTCCTGATCGCACACCTGACAATAGCTACTAGCCAATTTTTCATATGCGAAAGCTTCGGTGGCGATGCACATCTTAGTCTTGAAGTAAAACAAAGATTTAACTATGTTAAAGACAGGTAACTATGTCAACCTTATTTATTCCTCAGAAAGTTCACACTACAAACTAACTTTCCCGTCAAAGCCTTGAGATGAGAACCATCAGATTTTTTCACTGGTTAAGGGAATATCAGGATATTTTACTTGTAAGAAGCCATGAGAGAGACCCCTCATGTTTCACTTTCCAAGTCTTTGAGCACAGTAAAAGGTCATAACAATTTTCAAAATTAAATTTAACTCCTGATAAACTGCCAAACCTAGTCAGAACATTACTTGCAACAAAAATGAACAGTAACAAACCTCTGACAATCTGCTGAAATGATGAAAAAACCTGCCATCATCAACATAAAACAGAAATAAACATGTTAAAGAGTTCTCCAAATCACCTTATGTTTTCCTTCTTTTTCTTTTTTAAAGTCTCAATCTCCTAGCCACTTGATCTTCTACTTCCCTTTTTATTTTTATTAAAAATTCTCCTATAATCCCACAAGTGGAGTCTGGGAAGGGTAGTGTGTACACAAGCCTCATAGTGGAGAATTTGTTTTCGATAGAGAGGCTATTTCCGATAGACCCTCGTCTTAAGAAACACAAACAGGAAGCAACCAACAATAACAACACAAGAAAAAACAAAGACACTATGCGTAATAACAAAGATCTAAAAGTAAGAAGTACAAGAATACTACTAACAAAACTGGTAAGAATGACACAATATGGGATAACAAAGACCTAGGAACACGAAAATGTAAGAATAGTACTAATCTTTCATCAAACATAAACCAGCAGCACCTGCACCGGAATTTGTATATCTTGCTTCAAACATCATAGAAAATAGGACCAGAGACTCATGGATTTAGAAGTCTAAAGTAATTATCCGACAACTAAATGCCAAACAGCAAGCCTGTTCTCAGGATGCAATATGCCAAATAATGCTATTAGTGTATACACACAAACCAAGCTAAAATTCAACAGCATCAAGTACAAGATGCTGACAGGTAAGAGCAAGACTGGCTAATAGCAAGGCACAAGGGCAATACATATAGTTTACCATGATTGGGGAAAGGTAAGAGATTCTCTAGATTGAATTTCTTCATCCATTCATTTTTCGTTTTAGTATTAGGGGAAATCTGAAAATGTGCCCTAAACAATTAACTAAACAGAACTATTTATCCAGGTTATACGCAATGCAACAAATATTTTCCTTCAGCCTTGTTTAGTCTAAGATTACCATGTACATCCCACATATGAAACAATTGCGCAGCAGTAATATACTAAATCCTGGGAAAAATGAATGACTTAACCATGCAAGAGACAGTAAAAGCTTTAATGGGAGCAGCAACTGAAACAACAGCCTCACAAATGTAATATCTCAGAAATAGAGTCACTTGAATTGAGCCAAAAGAAGGGTGATATCATAAATGAAGAGCAAACTTTCTCATTAAAAGTTTACAGAGTAGTGTGGCATCATAAGCACACACAAATACACTAAACATCTATCTTTTCTTTTTCTGTTTTTTTTTTCACATTTTTTTTTTCCATTTTTTCTTTCTTCATCAATGGACATTCTGTCCATTCTCAACAACACCTAGACCATACAAGACACCGGCATACTTTTCCATTGATCCACTAAAGAAGTTCTCTTTCAACTTCCTAAAAGTACAAGCTGTAAGCAAGCTATCCGAACCGGCCTGATGGCAAACACCAACTCTCTCAACCTCCAAAAGTTCAGCAAGCTTGTTCAATCCACCATGAAGACTATTACAGAACTTCATCAAATGCTTAATATCGAAAACCACAGGAAAATACATGTTGATTAAGTTAAAGAAACCTGTTTGAGTATCAGGCAAATCCTGACAAGTCAAGATTTTCAACAAGTAGCCAAAATCATAACCACTATGAAATGTAACCCAATACACATTATCATTTAGCACAATTCCTGAAGACATTAAAAGCTCACCAAATCGCTTCGCATCGATGCCCTTTTCGATATTCTTCTTGAAATCAATGCCACTTTGCCTCAACAACTCAATTGAGTCATTAGCATAAACATCCTCATTAGGATTAAAATCACAGAAATTAAACTGCCAAATGCAGTATTTATCGGTACCACACTTTGGTAAATTCCCATTTTCATCAGAGAATGTTAACCCCAACTGAATTAACTTCAACAAATCCACGTTATCCTTTAGGGTTTGGTAATGATAATCATTACTGTTCTTGAAATTTCCGACAGGTCGGAGAACAACACCTGGAAACTCCGTATCCATTGCGATGTACGGATACTCATCGACGATTTCTCGGATATAATCGAACTCTTGTTCCAGATTGTCACTCCATACTTCTCGAATGTGAATCGAATCGCTTTTGGGTAAAAGCGACATTTCCCAGAAAATTGAGTTACCTCAAAACAAAAAAAAAACCAGAAAAGGTCTAAATCCTCAAATCCAAAATCAGATCTGCAAAAAAATTGAAAAAGATACAAACTTTACCAACCAAAAGCTTTAAATCTAAGAGACAATAAAATTTCCATAAAAAATAAAACAATTGATGTCCAATCTTACCTTGTAATACATAAAGATTTGAACTTTGTAATAATATATGAAGGGAAATGATGTGAGGCGGTGTAAAGGGATAAGAATCAGAGATATTTTAATATTTTCTTTTGGAGGAATAAGGTTCTTCTAGAGGGAGAAAGAGAGAAGATG